CAGTCTCATCATGGGGAATAACTACCATCAGCTGCCCAGCCACTCAACCAGGCCCAGCCAACTTGACACACAAACATAACCATCACAGTGAGTGTTAAACAAAGTTTTCTTTAAGACCTCTTAGAGCTTTAAGATGTATGGTTCCCACTGTAAACAATCAAGACCTATTTGGAACAGTGGGCTCGGGCATAGCAAAGACTGTGAGGATGGTGCAGGACTGGACAGTGTTTCGTTCTATTGTACACAGGGTCGCTGTGAGTCAGAAGCGACTCAATGGCACCTGACAACAAACCAACAACAGCACAATATGCTTTCTTCTCCAGTTCATGTGGATCTTTCTCCAGGATAAACCATATTTGGCCACAAAACAAGTCTCAATGCATTTAGAAGGTTCGTACAAAGTATCTTCTCCAACCGCAGTGGTGGAAAATTCACAAAGATGTGGAAATTAAACAGCTCACTCTTAAGTAACCAATGGGTCAAACAAGGAATCACAAGGAAAAATAGAAAATACTTAGAGGAATGAACATGAAAACACAACATCCCAATGCTTGTGGGATGCAACAAAGGCAGTACTCAGAGGGAACTACATAGCAGTAAGAGCCTACATTAAAAGGAAAAAAGATCTCAAATCAATAACCTAATGTTACACCTTGAGAAACTAGAAAAAGAAGAGAAAAGGAGGCCCAGAATTACCAGACCAAAAAGCAAACCAAACTCACTGCCGTCGAGTCGAATCCGACTCACAGAGACCCCTCCTTGGGTTTCTGAGGTTGTATCACTACGGAAGTAGATTGCCCAACCTTCCTTCCGAGGAGTGGCTGGTGGGATTGAACCACCAGAAAATTACCAGAAGGAAGAAAATAATAAAGATTAGAGGATGTACACCATGTATTTTGGCCAATAATGTACCATATATAAATAACGCACCCGCACGTATAAGGTGCAGAAATGATGAAATTAAGTAAAAACAGTTCTGACGTAGCGTACCTATGCATATACCACATGTCTTGTGACATTTCCAGATGTGACTTTTGGCCTCATTCACCTGTCCTCCCATAACCAAACCAAACTCACTGCCGTGGAGTCAGATCTGACTCATAGCAACCCCTCCTTGGATTTGCAAGGTGGTATCACTATGGAAGTAGATTGCCCAACCTTCCTTCTGAGGAGTGGCTGGTGGGTTTGAACCACCAGGCTTCTGGTTAGTAGTCAGATGCCTTAGGCACTATGCCACCAGAGCTGTCCTCCCATATCACAGATAAATCATATCATTCTGTTCATTTTCTTCAGTCTCCTGCTTATGTGCATAAAAATACTCTGAGGATGTTACTTTTGATCATAATTGTATAATAAAGGTATAAGCCATGGTCAAGAAGTCATGGATTGAATTTGGTAATCCCCCAGTAATTGGAAAATAAACAATCAAAAGTGTGTGTCTGTTTATATTAATTTGATAATTATAGCATATGAGCCTCAACAGTTGAATGAGAAAACCTTATCAGATCATATTAAGTGAAACGACTAGTTGTATTGTTGTTGTTAGGTGCTCTAACTCATAGTGACCCAATGTACAACAGGATGAAACAATGCCTGGTCTGGCGCCATCCTCACAGTCTTTGCCGTGCTTGAGCCTTCATTACAGCCACCATGTCAATCCTTCTTGTTGAGGGCCATCCCTTTTTTCGCTGACCCTCTACTTTACCAAGCATGATGTCCTTCTCCAGGAACTGGTCCCTTCTGACAACATGACCAAAGTAGGTGAGACAAAGTCTGGCCATTCTCTCTTCTAAGGAGCAATCTGGCTGCACTTCTTCCAGGATGGATTTGTTTGTTCTTCTGGCAGTTCATGGTGTTTATCTTAGGTTACCCACTGTCATTGAGTTGATTCTGATTCAAAGAAAGCTCTACTGGGTTTCTGAGGCAGTAAATCTTTATGGAAGTAGATCAGCCTGTCTTCCTTCCATGGAGTGGCTGGTGGGTTTGAACCTTCAGCCATCTGGTTAGCAGTCAAATGCTTTAGGCATTGCACCACCAGAGTTAGGTTAGGTTAGGTCTGCTTATTTTGTCATTTAATTATGTCTTCTTAGTGTCAGGTGAAGTCAGCAACGTGTAAAATTTGGCATAGAGTGCTTACAAAAATAATGTGTGGGGGGGAACGGGTTGCACAGTTGGCAAAAAAAAATGTATAATGCACACGTTATTTGCAAAAAAAAAAAATGGTAAATGAAATAGAGAATAGAAAAACAATACAAAAAATAAATGAACCCTGTTCTGGTTAGCTAGTGATGCTCTGACAGGAATATACTGCAAATGGGATGCTTGAACAAACAGGAGTTTATTCTCTCACAGTTTGGAGGTTTTACGTCCCAGTTCAGAGTGCCAAGCTCTAGGGGCTGAGTGAAAGCCTCTCAGCCTTGGGCTTCTGCTCTGCCTTCTGCTCCCAGCCTGCTGAAACTGAAGGCTTTTCTTCACTCAGACAGCTGCTGAGGCTGAGAAGCCCAAGGTTGACCAGTAAAAAGGCACAGTCCCAATATTACCAAACCACACAGCAAGCCATTAATTCAGTCCATTAAAAGTCCCAAGAATGGCAGAGCACGGCAGGCTGCTGAACAACGACTCAGCTACATTCAGGGTTCAAGCGTGCCATAAGCTAGAGACCATTCCCAAAGTTGCTGCTTTTATACAGGAAGCAGACCACATCCCTGAAGCAGCTACTCGGTTGCTTGTGGTGGATCCCGCCATGGAGCTGATTACCAGTCTCTTCATAAGGAATAACTACCACCAGCTGCCCAGCCATTCAACCAGGCCCAGCCAAGTTGACACACAACTTGACTACCACAAAACCCAAAAGTGATTTGTTGAATGATTGACAGAATTGACAAACCACATAACTGGGTAGTGTTTCATTCTGTTGTACGTAGGGTTGTTAATAATCAAAGTTGACTTGACAGCACCTAACAACAACAAGCTAGAATCATAAAGAAAAAAGAGAAAAGATACCAATAAATACAATCAGAAATGAAAATTGGTACATTATTACCAAATGCAGATCATTCGTTGTCAGAAACTTAATGGGACAGGAGAATGGGAAGAAACTGCTTAACAGGTAAAGGGCTTTGCTTTGGAGTGGTAAAATTGTTTTGGAACTAGAGAGAGGGGATGTTTGTACAACACTGTGAATTTACTACATGCCACTGAATTAACTTTAAAGTGATTAATTTCACGTGATGTAAATTTCACCTCACTAAAAATTTTTACATGTTATTATTTTGTTGAAAAGAAATCAGATATGTGTGTGAGTTACAAACTCAAGTTAGACATATATTAAAAGCCTTAAGGATGTTCTTTTAATAATTAAACTCACCAATAACATCAAAGGATCGTTTCTCTAAACCATCTTCCAGTCCTGCTAAAAATGCGTGTTGTTAGTAAGTGAATCTGTAATGTGAGTAGAGACAAGGCACATAATAACATGACTAATATTTTTACTAAGCCATCCCTAAAACATCCAAACGTTCTCCAAAACCAATTTACTGATGGAGGGGCAGGTCCCTTAGCGTGTAACTATTAAGTGTGTGACATTTCACCTAGAATATTGAGTTGGGAGTTTCAAATTTTGTTGAATATGTTAGGTATCCTTGTTAAGAATTTTAGCAATACTATAATGTGACATCTAACTGAATTGCCACAATAGGAGAAACAGTTATGGGCAGAGAACTCCTGAGAGCTTTTTCTGTGTTTTGCAAATGTATGATGAGTTGAGCTTATTTCAGCGTTTTGTTTAAGGCCTGCAGCTGTTGGTGGGGTGGAAGTGTCAAGTTTCAAAAGAAGGTAGAGAATGAATAAACAGAATGAAGGGAAAAGTCTCCTGCTTGAGAAGACCAAATAAAATAAAAACTAAGCATATGGGTTATCACTGCATTGCTTCTCATAGTCGAAGTTTCAGGCTAAAATACAAATTTCAAATATATGGCCATTTTTAAAACCATACTGTAAACCAGGCTATATAAAAATGATGCAAAATAAAAGATTAAGATTTTTCAGAAGTTTGATATCTTTCTATTTTCTTTATATCTTATGAAATGAACTTTGAATTTTAAGTCATTATTATTATTTTTGTTGTTGTTGTTATGTGCCGTTGAGTCGGCCCACTATGCTACTAGAGCTCCCTATTATTTTTTAGGCAAGAGAATATAAGACCATATTGTTACATTCACATAACTTGTTAAAGATAATGTAAATATTAGCTTACTAGAAAAGAACTGTCATAATTGTAGCATGCACAGTTTGTTTAACTTCTGTTTATTATCTTGATCATTATTTAAGGTTATATCCCCCAATATTAAAATTTTTTCATTATAAAAATAACCAAGGAGAGTGACTTTTTTTATGATGGTAAAAATACATATGACACTATTTTTCCCAATTTGTGGCACATATTTTTCACATATAGAATTCAGTGACAGTGACGTTGGTTACATAATCATGTTGTACAACCATTGTCCATACACCTTGCAAAAGTTATACGATAATATGAAGTTTACTTGGGAGAATACTATATGTTTAATGCTAATAAACTCTCAAGATACTTTACTTGATATGCTGTTGACATTAGAATTGACTACCAACTCGTCTGCAGAGCGTTTTGCTATTCATTTGAGATAAACTTTACTTTAGAAAGTTATACGACTATCAGGATTCAGGGTTTAGATGTTGGGTTTGCAAGAATGCTTTTCTTTTCTTTTTTTTTTTTTTTTGCTCAGTTAGAGCTGTGTTCTGAAATTGGTTCCTGAACAATTTTAAGTGTGGTATGAGCTGTTTATGTCACCCAGTAAAATTAGATACGTCTGTTGCTAATACCAAGGAATGAAACATAAGACAAGGTCAAACACATGAGTCTTTTTTCCAGTCGTGGTTGGTGAAGCCTAGAGTAGCTTTCACTCTTGTTCTGAAAGTAATGGAAAAGTTTGAAACACTCGGGCTTTGATAGAAATCAGGCTGAGTTAATTCACCAGGGTGCTTTTTCGTACATCTAAGGTAAGTAATCCATTTGAATTGGATTTCATATAATTATATAATCTTGTATCATTTATAACATACAACCTAAAAATCAAATAGTGATAAGGTTCCTTTATTTTTTTTCCCTTTGCAAGTGACATCATAGTTGATCCATTAATTTAAATAAGTAGTATGAATTATCTCAAAATACTTATATTTTAATGGTCTACAAAATTCAATTAGCTTCTCATTCCAACTGTTCTAACTTATTCTGGCTACTAATATGCTCTGTATTTTTAGCATTGTCATCTATGTCTAATATTTTCAATCTGTCAAGTACTGTGACAGCATTTCTACATGAATGGGCATTAAATTGCCTACCGTAATTAATCTAGTCAAAGTATGCTCTTTAGGATCAAATGCTTCTAATCCTACTCTTTAAGTTTTTTGTGGTACAATTACATTTGCTTTATAGTTTATAAATATCTTTGTGATAGATATTAAGAAGCATATTAAAACTAATGAAAATAAAAGTCAAGGTAGTTTTATAAATTAGCAAGAAGCAAGAAGAAAGGAAATAAGAACAAAATACTAACCTTAGTTTCCCAACCAGTCTTAAAGTGAAAAAGGGGAGACCATTTTTCTCCTAAAATCCAGAAAAAGTAAAGTGTTGCTCAAAATACATTAAAAATAAATATAAATAGGATAAAAGATAAAAATTCCTTAATGCTCTGGCCTCCTGAAGCTCTCAGTTCTTCTTTGTGTTTCTTAAGTTGATATGGGGCAATTGGAAAGCATATATTTTTAAAGGAAAGAAAATAATAAAGGGAAGATGAAGATAAAGAGATTAAGGATAATAAGGGGAAATATAACTGAACTGGCTTATAAATTCTCTCCAGCACGATGGAGTAACTCTAGTACAAAATGAACTACAAAACAAATTATGTTTTATTTTTGCTTATTTGCCTGGAAATATTTTGTAGGGATGGGTACAAAAGAGGCAGATTGACAGCATTTCAAAAGCAACAGTTCACGCGGGTATTTGTTTTAAGCATTCTAGAATGTCTTTAAAATTTTCTCTCAAAGTCAAATGAAATGTAATATTACCATATATTTAAATATTTAATCCAAAGACTAACAAATGCATGTTTTCAAAAGAGGCCATGGTAAGCTTACAGTTAAAATGATGTAAATAAAATTGTCCCATACTGTCCTTTAAAATATATTTTTTCAAACTATTATAGTAAAAAGGAGCTCCGGTGGCACAGTGCCTAAGGCGTCAGACTGCTAGCAAGAAGGCTAGCAGTTCAAACCCACCAGCCACTCCTTGAAAGGAAGACTGGGCAAATATGAGCCTTTAAAATGATTGTAAATCATAAATGAGTGCCTATTTTGTTCAATTTTGTGTATTTTGTCCTCTCTCTGTTCCCTTCTGCCTGTCTCATCACAACATCTTGCTATTTTCAACTGAGCCCAGCCCTACTAAGACCACCATTGCTGTGGTTGTCTGGTGGAAAGAAGACTACAGAGTCCTGGTGTGACTCTTTGACTTTCCTATCCCTGCACTTCTACCCTCTATCCTCAAGATATGTTTCTTTTCTATGCTTCTTCCTCTCTTCTCCTCAACCAAGTCCACATCTTTCTGGCTTTTTCTTCTCAGTATCTACTGCAGGGGTAGATATTTCTGTACTATTCTCTTGAGTACTGTAGGATTCATCATCCACTATATTTACTATCTCAGTCTCCAACTTTGTTTTTAATATATGTTGTTATGCTTTAGAGAATTTTATGGGGAAATTTGCTAGAGGAGTATTTAGTAATTTGTGGATTTGCAAAGACCTCAAGACATCGCTCAAAATCCCTCAAAATGCCCAAGTGTCCTCTACTTCAATATTACTGGTGTGTAGGCACTCTCGTGGTGTAGTGCCTAAGGCGTTTGAGTGCTAACTAGAAGGCTGGCTGTTCAAACCCACCAGCCACTCCTTGGAAGGAAGAATGGGCAATTTACTTCGGTAGTGATACCACCTCAGAAACCCAAGGAGGGGTCACTATGAGTCAGATCCAACTCGATGGCTGTGAGTTTTTATTTTTTATTTTATTTATTTATTTTTAATTGTGATCTAGGTGAAAATTTACAGAGCAAATTCACTTTCCATACAGCAGTTCACATACACTTTGTCTCATGACATTGACCACAATTTCCCACAATGCAACAGCTCCCCTCCCACTTCCTCCCCATAGTTACCTCTTCCCTGTGTCCATCCCTCCATGCACTCCTGTCCCCTGAGCTGTCTCCCTGTGCATAAGCAGCCCTTCTTTCTCCCATGATTGTTCTCTCCAAGGAGTGTATCTACCTCAGGTAAATGTTCAACTCATACGCCTGTCTTTTGTTTGGCTGGAAGGATGGCAGTGAGTTTGAGTAATGGACTGTCTGGCGGCATAGTGCCCAAGGCATTCGACTGCTAACCAGAAGGCTGGCTGTTCAAACCTACCAGCCACTCAGTGGAAGGAAGACTGGGCAATCTATTTCCATAAAGATTTACCACCTGGGAAACCCAATGGGAGTCACTATGAGTTCCAATCGACTCAGTAGCAGTGAGTTTGGGTTCTTTGGGTGTGCTTTTGAAGAAGTTCTGGTGGCATAGAGGTTAAAGCATTTAGCTGCTAAAGAAAAGATCAGCAGTTCCAATGCACCAGACACTCTGTGGGAGAAAGAAAAGGCAATCTGCTTCCGTAAAGATTGACAGCCTTGGAAACACACTGGGGCAGTTCTACTCTGTCCTAAAGAGCCACTGTAAACCAGAATCCACTGGATGGCAGTGGGCTAGTGTACCATTGATGGAAAATGGTTGGGGCTTTAAAGAAGGACCTCTTAAGCCCAAAGGAACCTGTGCTTTCTCCTAATGGGGTAGGGAGCCATCTGATTTTAAGACAAGAGAGTAGCAATGATCCAATTTATTCTCCAGAATAAACTCTGGTTGCCATAGGAAATGGATTAGGGGCAGTGGAGAAGGGAGGGAGGAAGAGTTGTATAACAGGCAAAGATGGATGGAAATGGAGATGCGGGCAGAACCAGCAGGAAGAAATCCTTGCCTCTAGAGTATTAAAAAAAAGAGAGCTGTCAGCGAGGTTAGGTAGGCTTTTCACTTGAGTCAGGAGACAGGGAACCCAGGAGAAGGATGCCTTAGAAAACTTAGCCTCACCTTTGTGACTATGTTAATGTTCTCTCTCTCTCTCTCTCTCTTTTAATTCTCAGTTTTACTTGTGAAAATTTTTTGAAAGTTAAAGCATCAATGAAAAGACAATTCATAAATTTTTGGCTATGAAGTCAAAGTGTCACTTTCTAGCTATGTTGTTTTTGTTATATGCCATCGAGTTGGATCTGACTCATAGTGACACCTTCTTGGGTTTCCGAGGCAGTATCACTACGGAAGTAGATTGCCCAACCTTCCTTTCAAGGAGTGGCTGGTGGGTTTCAACCGCCAGCCTTCTGGTTAGCAGTCAAGTGCCTTAGCCACTATGCTACCAGAGCTCCCATAACAGTTGTTGTTAGGTGCCGTCGAGTCGGACCCGACTCATAGTGACCCCTCCTTGGGTTTCCCAGGCAGTATCACTACGGAAGTAGATTGCCCAACCTTCCTTCCAAAGAGTGGCTGGTGGGTTTGAACCGCCAGCCTTCTGGTTAGCAGTCAAGTGTACTTCTAGCTATAGGACCTTATAAAACCCAAACCAAACTCACTGCCATTGAATTGATTCCGACTCATGGCAACCCCAATTGTGTTTCTGAGGCAGTAAATCTTTTATTTTCCTTCCATGGAGTGGCTGGTATGTTTGAACCGTCAACCTTCTGGTTAGAAGTCAAATGCCTTACGCACCGTACCACCAGAGCTCCTTATAAGACCTTACAGACACTGCTTAATTTCTCTATGCCTCATGTTCTTATTTGTAAATAATGGTGGTAAACATAGTATGTACCTTGTAAGGTTAAAATATGAACCAAATGAAACTCACTTAAAGCACTTAGAAATGCTCTGAGTTCTTGGTAAATAGCTATAATCATCATCACCGTCACTACCAAGAACAAGAAACCACATAGCCTCTGATCCTGGTCCCCACTGGAGGAAGGGAAGGGAAGCACCACAGGACAACTGTGATGATTGGTCAGGATCTCCAACCTGCTTCTCCTCAATCTCCCAAGAAGGCAGGCACCGTGAACCCTCTGTGGACAGGAGATGCCAGGCCAACGCTATTTCTGCTTCAGCAGAAAATGTTCTCCACAGGCAGGGCCACTGCCAAGGAGGGACAGTGTGCATTCCAGAATGAAGATAGAAACCCCGCCCTGGCGCTCTGGGCAACTGTCTCAGCCCTAATGGTGCCTTTCCTAGTTACGAAGGAAACAAATCAAATGACTGCTTAGATTGCCCATGAAAATTTCCTTTCATAAAACATTTTGGGTCTTAATAAAAACATTTATAGAAATTATTCTAAAATGTTAATCTCAGTGAAACATAGAAGTGTGCTATCCTCCTACTGGAATGCATTTGAACATGTGTTTTTTGGCAACGTTGAAAAGTCATTTTCAATTGCCACATTCCAATCCCAAAGAGAAGGTGATGATAAGGGTAGAAGTGTATGTATCATGGCCTAAAGCTCTCTGAAACTTTGTCAGTGAACTGTCAAAGCAGTTGGAAAATTGCATATACACCACATTTAATAAGAACTCTAATTTAGTTTACCCCAAGAATTTCTCATAGCTTTCAATCTTTCATTAGTCTTGAACTAAAAAGAAGCTCAGCTTAGTGGTGAAATTTAAATCACTTTCTCTTCTTAAAAATTCATCCTTAGTTTTATGTTTTTATTTTTCAGAGTTAGAATTTAGTTAAGTGCTATTTTTTAGGGACTGTGCACATTTAAGTTTGGAGAGGGTTGTAGTTTGTTTGAGGAGTCCAGGTGGCACAGTGGTTAAGTGCCCTGTTGCTCGCTGAAAGGGTGACAGTTCGAACCTACCAGTGGCTATGTTGGAAAAAGACCTGGCATCT